ACTCCCACCGACAAGCACCTAAGTGCTGCTCAGAGAGTTCTTCGGTATATAAAGGGTACACCAGGTCAAGGTCTGTTCTATCCCAGGGACAATGCCTTACAGCTTAATGTTTTTTTCGGATTCTGATTGGGCTGCGTGTGTAGAAACGAGAAGGTCCATAACTGGATTTTGTGTTTTCCTTGGTTCTTCCCTCATTTCTTGGAGATCAAAGAAACAAGCAACGATATCAAGATCCTCATCCGAAGCAGAATACCGTGCTATTGCTTCTTCTGTTTGTGAGGTACAATGGTTAATGTTTTTACTTGCAGACATGCAGATTGCTATGCAGAGACTGGCAGTGGTATTTTGTGATAATAAATCCGTTGTGGCTATGGCTGAAAATCAAGTGTTTCACGAGAGAACGAAGCACATCGAGATAGATTGTCACCTCGTTCGTGAAAAGGTCTCCCATGGCTTGATTAAGCTACTGCCAGTATCATCAACAAACCAAACAGCAGATTGTTTTACTAAGCCCTTACCCATTACAATGTTCAAGACCTTTGTGTCTAAGCTGGGCATCCAGAACCTGCATGCGCCACCTTACCGGGGGGTGGGGTATTGGAGAAGAATAGAAGGACTGAATAGTAATTTCCATTCCAAGCAGTGGCGGAGGCAAAGGTATGCTATGGGGGGCCTTGGCCCCCCTCCAATTTTTTTTTTAATATTATATATAATATTATTTTCTTAAAAAAATATTGTATAGAATATCAAAATTTTGTTGTTCCTTCAAAATATTTGGCCTCCCTCCCACTTAAATTAATCCTACAGGCTAAGTTATAATTTCCTCATCTTCTCCAATTCTCTCCCATTTTAAATTATGTATTCCCTATATTATTGACTCACATTCAAATTAAACCTCATTTAACCTACCTACTAGTTTTTCTCTCTAGAACCATACATATATGCAATATATACGCTATAACAAGACAATTCGTCACTAAAATCTATGCATATTTTTCAAGTTAATTTTTGTTTTTGTTTTTTTTTTTTTTTTGTTTTTGTTTTGTTTTGTTTATAACTACATGTTTGGTTAATTTTTGTTTCATATTCTATTGTTTATTTTAAATAGTGGTTTTGTTTGATTCTAAATAATGGATATCAAGGTGCATTTGTTTGGTTAATTATGCAAATTTGTGATTATGTGATAAAATTTGTATTTAATTTAACATGCATAATAATGTAAAAATTGTGTAGTATATGTATTTGAGAAAACAATTGCTATTATGTTATGTTGTGAAGATGATAGTTTTCAAGAAATAATCAATAATCATTTTAAAAAAGCATGAATGTTTTCATTCTTTCAACCGTACAAAGCAATGTGCATTGAAAAGCATATTACGAAATAATTTTATATAGATTCAATTATAAATGATTTATTCTAAACTTTATTAAATTTGTAATGTAATGATTATTTTGAAATAAGTTAACTGCATATCAATGTATTTGATTTAGTATTTTAACTGTAGTTGGCCCCCCCGCACTATGCAATCCTGGCTCCGCCCCTGATTCCAAGTTAGTTGTAACCGTCTTTTACCTCCAATTCCCTTTGTACAAATGCTTGCTTCTGCTTCAATTGTTCACACATTGAATAAACACAGTTCACTTTTTTCTTCTCTCTTCTTTGTAATTCACGTCACAGGGATCAAGTCTCACCAGTGACAGTGTGGGAGCAACCTCTCAAAGTGAGGGGGGTTTCTTGTGCGCAGTGAGCAATGTCTAGCCTCTGTGGTTCATGTTCAGTTGAGTTACCATGATTTACATCCTCCCAAATGCTCTGTCGGGTCAGGGTGTGGGGGGCCCTTAGGGTTGGGGTTCTACCTTTTAGAAGAATGATTATATTAATGATGTCCTAACCGAACCAAGGATTTGGTGGTCTAATGGTCCCAAGTTGAACTCTCACATGGGAGGTTGACTCTTTGTGCTTCAATATATTGAGAAAGTAGTTATGAACAGATACTGCATTGTAATTGTAATACCCACTATCTTGGAAATAAAAAAATATACCTATGTTATTAAAATAGGTCAACAAGTCAAAGGTTATTAAAATTGATATTGGATGAATTTACTAAATTACCCCTCTTTACCCTTAAAGGTTAAGGAACAACTTTGGTCTTGGATAAACATTTCATTTGAAAGAAGATAAGGGGAGCTAACTAGAGAGAGATAGGGGAAGGAAAAACCTTGGAGCTTTGATCTCCATCTTCTTCAAGCTTAGATCTCAAAGCTATTGGAGTATTCTAGGTAAGTTTGACCTCTATATTTCACTCTTTGAGTTGGGTTTATCACTTGAGCCCTAAGATTAATGTTTGAAAATATTAGGGATTTTGACAAGGAGTATTTGGGCGAACTTAATAGCTAAGATTTGGATGTTTTTAGGTAAGTGATTAACTTTTCTCTCCTTATTTTGGAAAACTCCTAAATATTATGAAATAATCTCCACTACTTTGAATCCCCATTTTAAGATTAGTATGAGTTAAAAATATTTTGGACTATGATTATGTTTTGGGTCTGAAAGGCTAAGCTGAATTCTGGATTGAAATTGTATTTGGGTTCGTTGGAATTGTGATTTCGGAATGTATTTTAAGCTAAATTAATTCTGACTGATATAATCACCATGTGTAGAGACGGTAGAGTGGTTTTGTGGCTGTTGTGCAGGTAGTAGGGTGTGGGTTTGACTCCAACAACTAGCATATTGTGTGTGTTTGTTTTATATCATATGCCTTATAAAAATGGTTTGTTTGTTTAAAGTGAGATTTGAATTCTTAACCTCTTGTTTATTAACTTTAAGTTCTTTCCACTTAAGCCATTTCAATCCTTTTGAAATTACTTTGGTTTAATAAACCATTCTATGATGTCTAAAGAGTTATGTACTAAGAAAATTATTATTTTGAGAATGGTTTATACCTTGCATATTTCTTAGTTTGATAAACTTATTACCTATTTTGGAAATATGAACTTTGCTATGTGATTTTAAGCAAATGATTTTTGCTACATCGGGCTATTTGATTATAAGAACTATTTTGATTATTTGATCAAACTCATGAGGCAACCTACATTTTGTTGTTTGTTTTGTTTGGCTTGGAACGTTCCTAATTGCTCATTCCGAATCGTCGAGCTTGACTCATTCCGAATCGTCGAGTCTTTCGAATTATTTGTTGGAACGTTCCATCCGGCTCATTCTGAATCGTCGAGCCTGACTCATTCCGAATCGTCGAGTCTTTTTGGACCATTATACCGATAATGGCATGTGCCACATAATATAATGGTGGTTGTAGGTTGCCAATGAGTTATATGTAAAGGAATAATTGGTGCTTTTGAAAGTACTGTATTATGAAATAATATTGATGCCCATGTAGCTAAAGTTTCTCGTTTTGGGAATTTGTGTATAGTATGATGGAAGTATGTTATGATTTTGATATAATTTAAGGATTGAGTTTTGCATCTAGTTGTTACTCTAAAGCTTTTTGTATTATTTTGCGGCTACTTGATCCGGGGTTGAGAGGAGTATCACTTACTGGGCATTAGCTCATTATTTGTATTTTTCTCATGTTTCAGAGTAGTTAAGGACATGTGAATAGCACGAGCACAAGTGGTGGGGTCTCGAAGGTGACTTTTGAAACTTGGAGACTTAGTCCTAGTTTTGGAGCTTATCATGGATTTTTGTTTATTTAGACTTTTCCTTTGACCCTTTGTATTTTTGGTAGACCATTGTGCTTGGTTTTGGTGCTTGTGATGCATTTTGGACATACTACTCTTAATTATAAATATCTAATAGTGGATTTGATGAGTTTTTGGGAAGAACAAGTCGATTATATTTTGTAATTTTGGGTTGTGGAATTATTGTATATTCAAGAGTTATTATGAAGATTCTGAGAGGTATGTATGGTTAGGCTTCGTATTGTTACAGGTCTTCACGTAACGATACGGCCGTGTCATGTCCTAAAAGTGGGGCGTGACAGTAATAGAGTTAATAGTATTAAAAAAATGATGTCCTAACCAGTTGAGCATATAACCATTAATGTGCAATCCAATTATCAGCTTAAGTTTTTAATTGAGATAGAGCAGTTGCTTCAATTTGGTATCAGAGCCAGACCATAGGACATGGGTTCGAACACATACCATTAACGTGCATTCGATGAAGGTTGATAACTTCAATTATGTTTGTTTGCTTGCTTCTTTTTTTTTTTTTTGTTTTTGTTTTTCATTTTTTTTATTTTGTTATAAGAGTCAATATTATATATATTTTTAGACACCAAAAGTTATTGCCGTTATGATTTTTGTTATCTATTTTAGAATTTTTTGTACTTTTGGTTCCACGAGTATTGTGACATTAACAATGTGAATCCACAACTTTTAACACTTGCATAATTGGTCTATGAGTATCAATTTTTTAGTAATGATTGTGCCTTACTCCTTGCTTCTTTTAACCGAGTTCAAAATCGAGTAACTAGTCTTCAATTTGTTTTTGTGCCGTACTCCTTGCTTCCTTGAACCCCCTCCACTTGAGCATGGTTGAACTCGGCAAATTATTGTATGAACTATGGTTCACACAGTGCTGTGTGGGCCATAATAAAAAGTACATTTTTTTTTATATACTGAAAGTACATTATTCGTGTAATGAATGTACACTATACAAAATAATGTACATTTAATATTCAAATAATGTATTTTTCATGAATGCAATATACATTTTTAATATGCTAAAAATATATTATTTGTATATTGAATATACATTATTTGATAGTATATATGATTCACACAATAATAATGGTTTGAACTCTTCTTGGGCCACATCCAATAGATCCCTTAAACAGAATATCGAATATTTGAGTATAAATATTAAATATTTGAGTTCTTTTTCTTTTTAAGTACATTTTTTTTCCAATGGTATCATATAACCAAGAATACCACCTAGTGTTCAAAACTTTTTATGGCGCTGTTTGCATGGTGTCATTCCTACAATGGTGGCGTTGAGGAGTCGAGGTATTGAAGCTGATATGTCTTGCCCGTTGTGTAGGCAGTCCAATGAATCACTTATGCATCTGTTCTGCGAATGTGGGCTCGTGATTCCTTTGTGGCAGGATATAATGCAGTGCAATTTGCCAGGTACTATTACAGACTTTGCGGCTTGGATGGCTGGTAATATTGCACTCTCTGATAATGCCTCCAACCTTAATTGTATTGCTCTATGGTGGTGTATATGGCGGAGTCGCAATGAGATTGTTTGGAACAATAAATCTTGGCAACCAGCACACATCAAGTTGGAAGTAGCACGTCTTGTACATGAATGGCAGGAGAGAATGGAAGCTTTGAAAGGTGGTGGCGCAAGGCTGGAAAATACTTCTGCATCAAACACGGTGTCGGCTGATATGTTTATGCTATATGTCGATGCAGCGGTTTTTACAGCCACACATGAAGCTAGCTACGGTGTGGTGATTACACAAGCAAATGGTAACTTTGTCGCAGCGAAGAATGGCCAGGTACAATGCATGGATGATGTTCATTTAGCTGAGGCCATAGCTATCAAGGAAGCTCTCTCTTGGGCTAAGGAGAGAGGTATTTTAAAAGCTAGAGTACACTCTGATTGCCAGATGATATGTAAGTTGCTCAATGGCTCTTTACCAGACTATACCTACGCCGGCTGTATCCTAAGTGAATGCCGAGATCTTCAACGACACTTTGATATAGTGTCTATTCAGTATGTTTCGAGATCAGTGAATATGGCGGCTCATGCTTTGGCTAGAGCGGCACGTTCGCAACCTGATCCTATGATTTGGTCTATTTCTTTACCGCGTTGTATTGAACATTTGTTTTAATGAATTTGAGTTATGTGGTTTTCAAAAAAAAAAAAAATATATAACCAAGAATAATTAGAATATTTATAACATCAAATATTTTTTCAGTAAATTAGATTTTTTTTAAAAAAGGAAAAGATATTGGATTTTGGAGGGTTGAAAAAGTGAGGTATTTGGCTAATATTTATAGCAACTGCCATCCAAAATTGTTTGAATGATTAACGATGATGTCCTAACTGATGAAATACCTAACACATTTTCCCTCTCTTCCAACCGTATTGGCCTTAAATATTCATCCTTTTCCTGTTTGTACCTTCTGTTCTGCCTCCAGCATCAACAACAGCCTCGAACACTTGTATTGCAATCCACCTACCAACCTTGGGTCGCTTCACATTTCTCCCTGGGAATGAATTGAACCCTTATTTCTTGTTTCTCAATTTTCTTGCTGGAAAAAAAGAGGGAGGGAGGAACGAACAAATGCTCAACAACTGCTGGAAGATCTGAGACTCTCAAGATCTTCTTTCTTGTTTCTTTATTACAAACAAATATTGGGTTTTCAATCTTCAATAATGATGGGGTGGAGATACAAAGCTGGTCTCTTCCTTATTGCTGCGGTTGTTATCATTTGGGTCACCTCTGCTGAAGTCACCCAGGTCAAAACTCTTTCTTTAATTCCCAAAAAAACTTTTCTTTTTCTATTCTTGGTGCTTAATTTGGTTTGTTTTTTGTTTCAAGATTCTCTTTTTGTGTTTGTGAAAGGGGTTGTTTACAAAATTAATACTTGATATGTATAGGGTTGCCAATGAAAATGAAATTATGATTTGAATTTATTGCCAGGAATGATGAATCATAAAGGAATATTTATAGAACCATAAAGGAATATTGTCAAGTTATGGGACATCAGTTTGACAAGATTTTGTGCAAAACTAGCTAGCTAGCAAACATTATTTATTAATTTGGAACCCCACACATTGAAAATATTGTGCTAGACGGATAGATAGTGATGGATGAAAGGTTTTTATTGTGCAGGACATTTTCACGGACTACAAGCAACCGTTTGCAGTGACATATCTTGGAGCTTCTTTACTCGTAATTTATCTCCCGGTAGCATTTCTTAAGGATTCGATACGCAGTTGTCTTGAGAGACAGCCTAACAAAAGTAATAAAAGCACTGGAAACAACGATGAATCATGCATTGGCTTTAGCCCTACAAAAGTCTTTGAGATTGAAATTCAAGCCTTGAATAGAAAAGACAGTGATGCAAATATTATAGGTGAGGAAGGACTGCCATTGATTAGAAATGGCACGGGTGATGCTAATCAGATTAATCAGAATAAACAGGTTTCAACCAGAGAAATCGCTCAATATGGATTTTTTATTGCCCCTATCTGGTTTGTTACAGAGGTATGCTTCTAACTTACCTCTTTCTTCAACATCAGCATTTGTTCGAGTATTTTTGTGTAAAAAGAAGCTGGAATATCTCCTTATCCCGACAACTTTTGATTCTTTTGCAGTACTTTTCAAATGCTGCACTTTCCTATACCAGTGTGGCAAGTACAACTGTCTTATCTGCTACTTCGGGATTATTCACTCTTCTTTTTGGTGTACTTTTGGGACAAGACACCGTAAATGTGACTAAGGTAGTTGCGGTGTTAGTTAGCTTCGCTGGTGTTATTATGACCACTTTAGGGAAAACTTGGGCAGCTGATGAACCTGAGTTAAATTCTTCGTTGTACGTCTTTAATTTATTCTGCTCATATAACTTCTGCAATTTGGTTTACATACTATGTGGTTATGATTAATGAACTCCATTTTGGTTGTTTTAAAGAGATGGGGAGCGCTCTCTTATTGGGGATTGTTTTGGCCTTTTATCTGCAACAACATATGGGCTGTTTACAGGTGATCTTCTATAATCCTTAGATACATTACGTGTATGTAAGCGAACAGCTTTGATCATTATTACGCCCAATCCATGATGCAGTACTTCTTAAAAAGTTTGCCGGTGAAGAAGGAGAAAGGGTTGATATGCAAAAGTTGTTTGGGTACATGGGATTATTTTCCCTCGTGGCTATGTGGTGGCTTGGTAAGACCTTTAAATCTAAAACCGCCTGCTTTGATGATCTAAATGAACCTTAGCTTCAATTTCAAAGTTAATGCTTACAGGATAACTTTTATTTCAGTATGGCCATTGACAGCCGTGGGCATCGAACCCAAGTTTACGATTCCTCATTCTGCTAAAACTGATGAAATTGTCCTCGCCAATGGACTTGTTGGAAGTGTTATCTCTGACTACTTTTGGTACTGATATCATATCTGTGTCAACGCAAGTTTCTTTTTTACTTGGTATCACTGAACCTCAATGGACCGACCTGCGTTTCTTTCCTTCAGGGCGTTATGCGTCGTTTGGACAACTCCAGTGGTAGCCACCTTGGGGATGTCTCTTACAATTCCACTCGCAATGGTAGCTGACATGGTAATTCATGGGCGCCATTATTCCACGGTTTATATTCTCGGTTCTGTCCAGGTAAACTTCAAGAATGTGAAAAGATTGCATTTTTTTTTCTTTTTACCACATTCCATTTGCATTAGAGAGTGTATGGATCAATGGGCATTCGATAGTTGATACACTCAATTTTGTTCTCATTTGTCTAAACTTCTGGTTGATAGAGCAAGAATTATGCTAAAAGGTTTCGTTTTTGTTGGATGAATTGCAGGTATTTGTTGGGTTTGTAATAGCTAACGTTTCAGAACGAATCACAAAAATTTTGTGATTATAACATTCTTGATGCAAAGTTCCTGATTTTTTGAAGAGGATACAACAAAACAGTTTCAAGTATTCACTCACAGAAGTTATATAAGTTTCTTTTGCTTAATTGTATTTAGTTTGAGTAGAGCTAAGCTAAGATTGTTCCTAGAACCATGGCTTAAGGTAACCTTGTCCTAAAATGCCAAAAAAGTGTCTATACACACCTTTTTTTTTTCTTTCCTAATGATATGATAATCTGGAAATATGTAAATAGAAAGTTGAAATTCTGTTTGTATGTATAGCACTGAAGTTCCTTTTTATACTAGTCGTTTTACACTATATTTGCAATTTTGTACACCACATCTATACTGTTACAAGTATTCACACAGTAAAATTTCTTCACTCTGTTAATTCTTACCTCAGAAGTCATCTCCAGGATGTCTGTAATGGATCAATCTTGGATTATTGGTTGCGGTGTCCACATAAGGTTCAAGTGTAGCTTCCCAGACTCCGCTCCATCAAGCTCGAAGGTATCTGTAAATTCGCCTTCTTGTATAACTCGAGTGAGTGTCATTATGCATCGCCCGATTTTATCCTGAAATCCACATCCAATAAGTAAATATGCTAGCTAGTATTAGGGATGGCAATGTGCCCCGTCCCCGTTGGGGATCCCCGCCCCCGTTGAGGACGGGGAAAAAATTCGGGGATCAGGGACGGGGATGGGGAGTTTGTGAAATTCCCCGGCGGGGACGGGGACGGGGACGGGGATACCCCTCCCTGCCCCGCCCCATCCCCGAATAAAATATATATAGTTTTAGGAATTAGAAATTAGATATAGATTATTAGAATTTCTTTTTATCTGTGGCTAATACAGTGTACTGTTGATTTAAACATAATTAGTTAATTACATAAAACATGTTGTATACTATGTATATTGAATATTACATAGAATATAATGTATGTAATTAAACATAATTGTATAAAGCATTGTGTACTGTGTATATATATTGAATATTATATAGAATATATGTATTTAAATTCTGAACATAATTACATAAGCATTGCTATACTAATACTGTATATATATTCAAATATATTATATATTATTGAATATTGAATGTTGAATTTTTCTTTTATAGATTTCAATTTTTTTTTTTTAAACTGTACTATGAGTTAATCGGGGATGGGAATTCCCCGTCCCCGCCAAATTCCCCGTGGGGACGGGGACGGAGAATTTTTTCAAATCCCCGTCCCCGTCCCGCCCCATTGCCATCCCTAGCTAGTATTCTTACGAACCCGTGACCTGGCTCTGATACCAGATCAAGCGCTTACTACCATGACTCTGATATCACTTGTTAGGATCAAACACTTACCACTATACCAAAAGCTACTGCTAATAGCAAAGGCGCAACTTTATTTCCTGATAGACCGCCATCACGTTTTTCAAGACACTGGGTGGCCCTAAGTCTTTTACTGGGCTCCGCCCAACAATGCCCCAGCCACTGGGTGAGTGCTAGACTTGGCATTTACCGGCCTCCGCCCAACACTTACCAGTCAAGGCAGAAGAATCAATGGATGGAAAATGCTTACCTTTCCACATATGTCATGGTCCCAAACTTCCAATATTAGCAGTTCATGCAGTCCATCCTCAACAACAAAGTCAAATGTTTGGTTCCAAACTGGATTCAATAAGTTGGTCATAACCTGAGATTCAAGAAGATGAGAAAATTCAAATCAGAAACAACACGAAAGGAGTGTGCTTCGAAGAATCAGAAGCTGCTTACTCTAGTTTTCTCCCTCTGCTCCGACTTCTTCAGTATCAGTACCACATATGGATCGCATTTTCCAGACAAGTCGGTGGCTGGTAAGTCCTCGGCTGATATTACTGTCACGGAGAGAACCCCTCGGAAGAGGAGATTGCGTGTCTTCTGCGTGGCAGGTTTTGCCCCATGCTGAAGAGCCTTCTCCAAGTCAGTCAGCCTGAAGTCAGGGTCGACGGATTTCATAAATATGTTCTGTGTGCCAAAAGGACAGTATAGCAGCTCCAACTGAATCTGCAATTCATGTTACTATAAAAAGTTATTCAGATTCTGGGAAGAAACATCAAACACATTCTTCGATTAGCAGTTAAAGAAAAAAGTGCAAACTAAAATTCTCACCTGGCCTCTGTTCTTCGTGTCCCTTTGAATTTCCAAATCTTTCACCAGTGCCAACCACACACTCTTCACTTTTCCGGGCTCGAGGTCTTTTAACTGCACTTGACCACATCCAATAAGTTCAGAAGCTTGAATGCCTTCGTCGTCATATACTTTTACAGTCAAGTGTTGAGTCGATGCATCTTCAACTTCAAACTCAAAATTCTCGTTCCAGATCGGGTTTAGAGTGTTGTTCTTGATCCAAAAATAACAGCAAAAAACGCTAGGATAAGCGGGGTTATTGGAATTGGGGAATATAAGTATGAGCACCCGAATCTTACAAGAACTTTGCTTTTCTTAATCCTCTCGCGCTGTGGACGAATGAATACCTCAGCAAACGGATCAGATTTCCCGACCAAGTCTTTATTTGTTAGCTCTTTACCTTGGATGAGCTTCACTTCTAATGTTCCAACAGGCTTTAACTGCAAATCACTATAAAGACACACCAGAAATCACCACTAAATCTTCATTCTTTAAAATTTTAAGTTCGAGTTAACATAGGTTTAGAAAGAAGTTCTTGGCACACCTGTAATCTCCTGGTAATATGGGAATGATTTTGCGAACTGGCCACATGATAGAATCTTCAATCGCGTCCAGTATGGTACTCTACACGAAGGCAAATAAACGTAATCAATGAAGAAATCACATTATTGCCTTGGTCTAGTAAGTATCAACATTCATCATTGTCAAAGAGATCTCAAACCTAACCTTAAGAGCATCTAGTACTCCAGGAATGGTTGAGATATCGCCACAAACTTTGAGAGTGAAATCGAGCTTTTCCTGCAGGAATAGAATCGAGGCATGATTTCTGATAAAAACAACAAAAACTCGGGGGAAGAATGGGGGGGCACATTACCTTATTTCTTAAGGAGTAACAAATAGCTCCGAAACATGGGAACTCTTCAACTAACGGTTTGAATATTATCCTGAAAACACCAGTAAATCCAATGTCTTTAACCTGCAAATTCTCCAAGACATGAAAAATGAATCGATTTACTGATCAAGACTTCAAACACAGTGACTAATCCCCTCGCTGACAATGTCAATATGGTATAGTGAGATGCGAAGAAATACCCAAATACCTCTATTGGCAGTGACACTCCAACTAAAGTAGTTACATCAAGTACAATGTGTGGATTTCCATCCCACTGCAACTCCAACTCCATAATAATTTCTTCAGGATCACCTTCGATAATCGAAACTCCTGAAATGCAGGTGACACATTATATATGTTAGCAAACTGAATAATCAGATCATCAGATCAAAGCCCCCTTCTCAATTATCCTGTAAGATCAACAAGCAATATTTCCCCCGAACGAGCCTACCAAAACTCGACTGGATTATATATCAATGCAGTATGTAAAAAAAATAAAAAGGCAATGAATTTACCTGTGAACTGTGGAGCCACAGTACCTAATGTGAGCTTTGAAAACTTCAAATCATCTATAATAGGGGATCTATATTTCTCAAGGGTTGGCTCAACTTTTCCCCTAATAACTTCTGATGCTGCCTAAATATTATCAAACAAATATCAAGTTTTTGAGTGAAATTAGAAAATAATTAAGAAGAATGAATCAAATTTAACTATCAAAGAATTACAGTATACAGATCAGAAGTCACAGTTACCTCGTTAATGTATGGCCATAATTTCTTAAGATGATGATTAAGCCATTTTAACTGTAATTAACCAAAAAGGAGTAAAAGTTGAATAACCCAATAAATAAATAGTAATAGTGATCAAAGTGTAATTATATACAAGAAATTCAACTCAACTTTTGTCTTTGTGAGAAGACAACCCAAGGAGGGTATGCTTCAGCTGGAAGGATTTTTCTTGAATCTTCAACTGTCATTCTTGCAAATGCTGCAACTATTGTTGCCTGCCATATTTAGTTCAGAAAAAATAATAATAATCTAAAAAAATTCATTAGTTACCTTTTTTAGGTACAGAATTTCATAACACAAAATACAAAAATTCACAACATAAAACATACACATGCACCAGGTCCACAGTGTACTGTGAACTCTGGTACATATGGTACAAGGATTGACATAGTTACATACCAACTCAATGCGTTTTATGGACCTCATATTTTGAAATCTTGCAAAACAGGCTATCATTCCAACGCCCAATGCAGCTCCAACCAAGAACCAGACTATGAAACCCATCGCTTTGGTAATATTTTCCCCTTCAAAACTACCCCAAAAATATGTATACTTTGTGACAATTCTAATGAAAATTTTGCTTGGGGTGTTGGGTGGAGGAGATCAGAGGAGCTGAACATTTATTGAAGAGATCAATCCAATGCTTAATCAATTGATTAATTGAGATATATTCTTTAATTTCTGCATGCCCTTAAGCTTAGCTTGTTCGGGAAAAGCAAGATATCTATTCTTTTCTTGGTCCATGGGTATTTGGTTCTATACTCTATAGTCAACCAAATGCACATAAAAATATTTTCAAAAAAAAAAAAATGCACATAAAAATTAAAGGTTGTCAATTGATCATGGTAGTTGAAGACACTACTACAAAAAATAGATACTATCACCATTTTTTCTTTTTACACATATACGGTGATTTATTAAGTGACGACGTGACGTATAGGTGACCACGTAGTAAATAAATATTATATATGACAGTTGTTTAGGACAGCCGTATATTAAATTCTATAGAGGATAAAACAATAGTATATTTATTCGCCTACTTAATTTTAAGAGACCGTATATAATATTTATAATATATACATATATTACATCGGTTTTAAATTAAACCAACGTATATACATCTATTTGAAAAAATACATAATATAGTATATACCATGATTGTTAGTATAACCACGGTACATACATCTGTTTGAAAAAAAAAATAAAAAATTATAATAAATTATATACGACCGTTAGCCGATACAACCGTCGTGTATACATCAATATTTTTTTAAAAATCTAATGTAATATATATGGCGGTGAAGTGTTTAAAAAATAAAATATATATAAAAACAATATAGTATATATGGTGGTTATCCATATAACCGTCGTATATACATTATTATTATTATTATTATTATTATTATATATATATATATATATATATATATATATATATATATACACACACACACACACACGAAGGTTATCAGTATAATCGACGTATATACATTAATATTTAATTTAAAAAATAAAAAAATTAATTGCAGTATTTACGGCAGTTAACTATATAACTACTGTATATACATCTATTTAAAAAAATCTAAAAATAATATAGTATGTACAACTACAACGGTTGAATACAATAACCACCGTAAATAATACTTTATACGGCAGTAAATTAAAAATCAATGTATACTAGGTGACGTAGTATTATATTTCTATAGTAGTGAGAAAGTAATACCAACATACCGTATATGGCATGTATGTTGTGTTATGTAACACACCATAGTGTTATAACTTGTTAACACTACAAGATTGTCGAGTTTCAAGTCTTGGGAAGATGTTTGTGTCTCGTTGACTCTGTCCGAAATGAGACATAACCCGTTATATGCATATTTCATTTGCATTGGACAGTTTTATGCGCTTTTGGACTTGGAGCATAAAAACAAGCAACAACCATTTTCATGTACACATTCTTTCAAGCATGTCTGAAAGCCGTAGTTGCATGTTTCACATACCATAAAAACATGCTACAAGCTGAGGATCATCAATCCCACACAACTGAAAGCCCTATGGAAGGCAAAATCCACAACGCTATGGCCGGAGATTGACCATGTGCAGACGAAGTTTGCACTTCGTCGCCGATAATCGGAGATGATCGGCGACGACAAAGGGGATGGGTGAGGTTGTTTTTTTTTTTTTTTTTTTAAGAAAAATTAATATTAAAATTAATAAAATAAAATAATTTATTAAATGTTAACTACGTTAGCAATTAATCTGAATAACCCGTCACTTTTGACCCAATTGCAAGATAATGACTTATTCAGGGGGTTAATTACATATATGTTTAGTTGGATGATCTAATTGTATTTTTGTATGCAGTTGAATAAATAATTTGACCCTTATTCCATATTACCAAAGGACATTTTGTCATTGATGACATCGACTCCGATCCTAAAGCCCATTTCATTAAAAAATCGACTTCATTGTTGATCTCCATGAATTTTCCTGCCATGGAATCACCTCAAAGAAAAAAAAAAATAGTACGTACTCCATGTGTTCTTCTGTTCTCATACTTAAAAACATGTAAAAAGATAACGACAAGAAGTTCAAGCTACTCCCTAGGAGATAACGGCGAGGTGGTCTCTGGACCCATAAAGATCGTGATTTTACTCCTGCACTTTGGGGCAACACTCTTTCACAAAACATGTTTTGATCGCATTAGAATTTGGAAGTGCGATACTTCATGATGGATATATTACGAGCAGAGCATACCGACCCGCGGAGGTAGAGCAAGATCCGGGGTCCTGACCCGTGGGGCCTTGGCCCATAGGACCTCGGCCTATGGGACCCCGGTGTCTATGGGACCTCGGTCCATAGAACCTCGGCCGGAGCGGGTGTCGACCCGGAGGGGTCGGCCATCAACGGGCCGACCTGGAAGCGGTCAAGAAGACGTGGTCAACGCGGAGCTAACCGCCCCCGCCTTAGGGGGTGGCGGTTAGGGGTGGGGATGTATAAAATCCTCCAATGGATGAATTTTCCTCACCTATAAATACCCCTCTTCACCACTGAAGAAGGTGTTGGTTTTTCACTCAATCTTAATCTTCAAAAGCTTTGTCTACGAATATCTTCCAAAAAGCTTTCAAAACCAGTGTGTTGTTGTGAAGTCTTCTCAAGGAGATTATCCAAACTTCAAACCTTCACAACACAAGGAAATCTTGCCACATATATTTGAAGATTCAAGCAACATCAAGTCAAGATTTCACAAATTGGAGAACATCATCAATTCTTTCCAACCCTTAACTCTGAAGAAGAAGTTGATAGAAACGGAGTAAACTCGAGGAGTTGAAAAACCTACACAAGTAGCTGTCCGGCTTAGTGATCAAGGAAGCTAGCTTGTTTAGTTTGTACTAGGAGTGGTGGTGCAAACCCTTCCACAAGTTGTGAAGAAGAGTGGAGTAGGCTTCGTTAATAGCCGAACCAGTACTATAAAAATCCTTCTCTCACTCTCTCTCTCTTTACTTTCAGTTATTTACTCTTACTGCATTGCATGCATACTGACCAAACCGTAACTTTCCATATCAAAAGCGTGCAAAGAATACATTAAAACGAATTCACATTTTTCCGCTGTGCATTTTTACCCAAAAGTTATTTTCAAAAGAAAAATCGGATAGAGTCTACTCACCCCCTCTAAGCTCTCGTTATACCCTATCGGGACCAACAATTTTCCTCTCTTATTAACTACCTATTGATCTCCTTCAGAATGGCACAGCTATATCATTGGGTTTGCTTCTTATTTATTTGCTTATTACTGAGTGTAGCAAGCAAGACAGAAGCCGCCATAAACGTTACTTTAACCGTTATTGTGGAATCTGCAATATCTAAAGGAGCAGGTAATATTTAACAGTGTGTTATTTTAAAGCTAATTATTATTATTATTATTATTATTATTATTATTATTATTATTATTATTATTATTATAATTATTATAATTATTATAATTATTATAATTACTATTACTATTACTATTACTATTACTATTACTATCACTATTACTATTGCTATTGCTATTGCTATTGCTATTGCTACTACTACTACTACTATTTCACCCGTGCGATGCGCGGCAATGTTATTATGGTGCAAGATATAATATTTTTATAGGTTGAACATATAGTAAATAAAATGTTGAACATATAGTAAATAAATAAAATATAATTGATTCGTCTATGGCAATTAAGAGAATTACACATCAATAAAAATTTATTTGTAAACTACATTTTGGGTATTGTTTAAAAGACCTCTAAGTACTAAGTGGCTTGTGATCCATTGGTACCTGGTTGCTCTTCTAAGTGGGTGGTGATATGTTTGAACCTCACTTGAGGTAAGTGGTATGTATATAGGGCATCCCCTTCCTTATAATTAAAAAAAAAAAAAAAAAAAAAAAAACAAACCTTTAGGTTCAATACAAAATCGATTTTTTAAGTAACAAACATGTGCGATGCACAGAATAAATATTTGAAATATTAAAATTATGTTATATTATTAAAAATATTAACGCTATTAAATTTCGAACATGAGATTAATTATTTTATAATTTTTTCTAATTAAAATAAAAATTGATATTTAAACTCTGTAATTATTAAAAAGAGTTAATGTCATATATGACCATTTGAGGTAATTTGTGGTCATCCAAGTATAGTGATTTTACCATGTTTAGTTTCAAATTTTAAAATTGACGATCAGTGGGTTTTCAACTTTCAAATTGTATTGCTAATACACATCTTTAGAAAAATATATAATAAATTTAATGCAAAATATAAAGTACAAAATGTTTAAAAAACAATATTAAATTTACCAAAGTCATAAACATGAGTAGACAAAAACACTACAATAAACTCTCATTGTTCCTTACAAAATAACCCATTAACACTAAAATAATAACAATATGCCAACATTCTCTAAAAAAAAAAAAAAAAGAAGAAGCATATATATATTAATAACTGTATTGTATGAATTCATATTACTATCTAAATTGTTAAAATAATAAAATAAATTTTTAAAATTAAATTATTTAAATAAGAAACTATATTATTTTTATGGGAGCATATATACATTTTTTCATACACCTAAACTCTCATTAAATAATTTAATTTTCATGAGAACAAAAACTGTTAACTCTTTTATATTTAAAAATATAATGATATAATTTGAAAAAATTGAACCTTTAATTTTTAAAAAGTTCCTCGTATTAAATCTGTTAAACATACAAAATTTTAACCTTTTATTTTTTAAAAAATAGACCTCTAAATTTTTTTTTTAATACACCTAAAAATAGACCTCTAAATTTTAACGTATAAATAAATATATATATTTTTTTAAAAAAAACAATCAGCACATCTTTTCCATTACAACATTAATTTTTTTTAATACATTACAAAATAGGGCACACTAAAATTATTACTCTTTTTAGTACCCAAGCATAGCAACATTGCTAATAAAACCACACCTAAAGCATCTTCGACCAACTTTCATTTTCAACTTTAGTAGCACCACTCATTGACATCTTAACTCTCTCCCATTCTCTCTATACATATGACATATCATCTCTTAGTTGTTGAGTAATACAACTCAAATCTTGTGATTCATTTAGTGTTGCCCCATAGTCAATGTCCGGGATTTCTTGAACTTGAACATTCATAACCAAAAATATCAAAAATTCACAACCATTTTTCCGGGATATTAAAAGATTCATATAAATTAACCACATACTCAAATAATTTTTTATCAAGAATTGTAATCTAACCTTCCACGGTTGACAATCAAAAAATTTATGTCCACTATCACGACCTATACATAACGGAGATTTCAACCCACATTTGCAATACAAAAGTGAGCTCATATTGCAAGTTAAAATTACGCATAGTAAAATTGGATGAAGATGAAGAAAACGATTTAGAATTTGACGAAGACATTATTGTAGAATTCACCAAAGTCCTTCCTTAATAGAGAAAACGATCACAATCTCTGCATCTCTTTTCATAATTTTTCGTGAGCTTCAATGAATACAAAAAAAAAAAAAAAAAAAAAAAAAACCTGTCATTTAAATAATTATTAAAAATTACACAACAAATATAATATTACAAATCAAAACAATTAAAAAAATATATTTTTTTAAAAAAAATAAAATAAAAGTAAATAATAAAAACCCACCCGTTTAACCCAAATTCCCCTCCCCCATTTCTGTCTTCTTCTTCGCTACTCTATCCAATCACCCTCGCTCTCACCAAATATGGAAACCAAACAAATTTCTTACCCCCAAATCTAAATCCAAGCTACGCATGGCTGAAAATACTACAAAAATGCCTTCAATTCCGTCATTTCAAAATCTTAAACACAAAACACAACTGATTCAAAGAATTACACGATAAACAGATCGACCGACAAATATGGTCTTCAATAGCAACGCATGCAATATCCTACAGTTTCAGGTAATTATTTCTTTATTTTATTTACAATATATAATAGTAATTTTAACTATTTTCCGGGAAACCTTAATTCATGTCTTCATGTAATTCGTAGATAAATACACACACGGCATATGTGTAAAAATGCAGAACGCTTTGAAGTTGAAAACGTATTCGAAGAGATACCAACAAATAATTCTATGACCTAAAATTTGAAATAGAATATTTAGCTAGAATATTCAATCATTTAATCTGTTTTTTTTTTTTTTTTTTTTTTTTTTTTTTTTTTTTTTTTTTTGCTCTGCATGCATATTTCTTTGAAATTTAATCCGAAAAAGTGACCATGTTAATTTGTTGAAATATGATACTAAATCTGTTTTAGTATTTCCAGATTTCCAGATTCGCTTTAATCCCATGTAATATTTAGTTCTATTATTTTTAATCTAATTATTTTACAATATATGTAAGTTTGTTTAATTTTAAATTGCAAACTGTAATTTTTTTTACAAATATTATTTTTTAAATCATACTAAAGTAGACATACACCGAGTAAATTATAGAAGGGAAAGGAAATCATAACCGTACATAAGCATATATTCATTACCATACAATGCCATTTTGCTTATTCAAATTTACAACTTGTTCTTTTTCAGTATTTGTCTCAATGCAAGCTATTTGAAGGTCAGAGGCTTGAAGCAGGTTCGCTGTTAGGTAATTTCTTTAAACCCAAAAAAAAAAAAAAATTTGTTGTTTTTTAGTTGTATCCATTCAATATTTAACTTAAAGTAATTTTGAAGCAGGTAATTTTGAATTTATAAAAGCAGAGAATAGAGACATTAAATCAAACAACTAATTCAATCTGAATATTGCTTTTCAAAAAATGTTCCTTACCGTCTATCTTAAAAATAGGCTAACATGCTAAATGTTTACCTTAGCTTCTACTTTTTATCATTCTATGTATTTTTAACTCTTTATTTTCAAATCATTTTATGATATACTCGGTCTCATCATCATGTTGATGGTGGGTTGGTGGCAAATAACGGATCAACTGACAACCTTAAGGAAAAAATAATCAATAACACTTTGTTCTCATCATCTGCACTATTTTTCCTGCCCTTTTCATGTCTAGCTCCATTACTTGAAACCTTATGAAGAATTGGAAAGCTTATAGGTTTATGTGGCTAATAATGTGACTGCATTATGTTTCTCTATTTTTCCATCACTGTTTAACTTTAATTTTATTTCTGACTTCTAACTATAGAAAGTATATAGACCTTATTTTAGATTATTCTAACCTGGAACAATATTTAGTCATTATATTTTCATATGTGTGTTCTAATTACAAAATTTGGAGGCTGTAGTCATGCACTATAAATCATTGGAATGCATCCCATTAGAGATCAAAATTTAACATCTCAGTGAGTAAAATTTTTTGTATTGTCTACAAAATATAAAGACAGTGGTTCTTTACCTTATTTACAGGTTTCCTAACAAATCAAGTTGATAAATTAGTGGAAGGAATCTAATAGTATTAAACTTACTGGTGTAAATCAGACTATTGTACTTTATGAATGTCTTTTGTAATATTTGATGTGAATTGACTTTGCAGTTTGCAGGCTCAATGATTCAAGCTTCAACCCAATTTTCTTACATGTAATCAGGAGAAGGATTAAAGGTAACAATGATCAGTTCACTTTATTTGTGTACTTATCCAAATATGACAAAATTCTGAATAATTTGGAGAAGGCTTAATTTTGATTCAAGCTTCAGTCCAATTTTCTTATATATTCTAAATATAAGTTGCAGGCTCAATGACGTAACTGTTAGCACTTGTGTGTCTGCCTGGAAATAGGACCATAATAGCATAAATGCATACATTACTTAAATTTAGATCAATCATTAATTACAATGTGAAAGGGTTAGCCACTGCTACAAATGCAGTTCCAAAAGCATAACCACAACTGCTGCACTTTTGACTTCTTAGGAATGTTGATCCTTTTATAAATGTTTACCAAAAGGTCCATGGACATTTATAAATGTTTACAAATTCATACAAATTGATGCTCTTCATTCTTCAATGAGTAATGTGTCATGAGCATTTATAAAAGAATACACAATAAAAAAAACATAGGATAAGATAATTAGTTAAAACAACCAAGATAAAAAAAACATAGGATGAGAATTGGTCCATCAAATTTTTCTTGGTTGAACCTGGAGATATCTGTTCATTTGGTCCTTTGTCCAACTGAAAATCAAAATGATAATAGAAAACAGACACTAAGGTTAGTGTAAAAATACTTCCATTCTATTTTCTTTCTTTCTTACCGATTTTAGTAACACTATAATCACTATCATTGTTGCACTTACCTTGTATATTGGACGACCAGACCCACTTGACTCCAAAGCTTCATTGAGACAAATAGAACTTTCTGTAAACAGACATGTAAAAAGAGATTAAGTGTAGACATTGTAAATCTAGACAACTCTAAGGTTCATTGTTGGTACTTACATACTAAAGTCAACTATAAAATCAGATAGCAATTCTATTCTTCTAGAATAGACAGATTTTAATACCTCATTTTATTGTCATTTTGCTTGAATTCTATTTTTTTTGCAGCTGCCATTTGTCATCAGCTCACCTCAGTGTATAAGGGTCATCTTTGGAGTTGTTCTCATTTCTGGCCTCAACACACATCTTAATCTTCACGCAAACGTCTTCTTCCTCCTATTGAAAGCTTTCCAAAATCTTCTTTGAAAGCTCAAGAAACACTGGACCTGGACCAGTTCTTTACCTGCAGCCCCGTGGTTATGATGGATGCCTGCTGATTTCTGCCCTTTCCTCCACATATCCACATATATATATAGGAAAGTTGATTTTAAAATTAATATTAGTTTTGAAGATTTCAACAGTCATTTCCCATTTAAATTCATTGTATTCACACATATTGATGGTTTGTAAGTATAGTTTATGTATACGAAGAGCTTTCAAGCAGGCTTTTTAAAGTTTCAAGACAAAAAATTAAAGCGCCTGGGTGGCACAATTATTATAGCTAGATATTAATTGCAGCCTGTATTTATTTATTATAGTAAAAGAAAAAATCAGAAAAAGAAAAAAAAAAAAAAAAAACTCCCAAAACTTTGAGCGGGAAAATGGAGGTGACTTTAATATATAGAATGATGATGATGATGATGATGATGATGATGATGATGATGATGATGATGATGATGATTGATGATGATGATGATGATGATGATGATGATGATGATGATGATGATGATGATGATGATGATGATGATGATATGATGATGATGATGATTGATGATGATGATGATGATGATGATGATGATGATGATGATGATGATGATGATGATGATGATGATGATGATGATGATGATGATGATGATGATGATGATGATGATGATGATGATGATGATGATGATGATGATGATGATGATGATGATGATGATGATGATGATGATGATGATGATGGATGATGATGATGATGATGATGATGATGATGATGATGATGATGATGATGATGATGGATGATGATGATGATGATGATGATGATGATGATGATGATGATTGATGATGATGATGATGATGATGATTGATTGATGATGATGATGATGATGATGATGATGATGATGATGATGATGTTGTTGTTGTTGTTGTTGTTGTTGTTGTTGTTGTTGTTGTTGTTGTTGTTGTTGTTGTTGTTACCAAAGCTAATATTTTTGACATTTTTTTTAGTTTGCACTGATGGTAGTGCACCTGGATATTACTATGACAAAGGACATGGGGAAGGTGTGGCAAATTGGGTGATATTTCTAGAGGGAGGAGGGTGGTGCTTGGATGCTCAAAATTGTAAGAATCGAGTCATGGGAAACTTATGGTCTTCAAAGTACATGTTCCTAGTGCATGAATTGGGAAACCTTTTGAGTGAAAACCCCAATGAAAATCTTGATTTTTATAATTGGAATAGGGTTTACGTTGCTTATTGCGACGGATCATCTTACACCAGTGATGCCAATGAAGTGGATCGGGCTACAAATCTAACCTATAGAGGTGCAAAGGTTTTTTATGCTTTAATGGAGGATTTTAAGGCCAAGGGTATGGGAATGGCGAAAAACGCAATCTTTTCGGGGAATTCAGCTGGAGGAGTGGCCATGATCTTACATTGTGATCATTTTCGAGCTCTACTCCCAAGCACAATCCGAATAAAATACCTTGCAGATTCATCTTATTTTATCGATGATAAAAAATAGGATGGTGATAAATTGTTCCAATTAAGCTATGAGTTTTTGGTCGGTTCAATGGGATCAGCTAAATGGCTACCTCAACAATGCACTTCAAGAATTATCATGAAACCTTCACTTTGTTTCTTCCCACAGAACTCACTACAATATGTCAACACTCCGATTTTCCTGACCACGTCCTCATTCGATCAAACTCAGCTCAAGTATGGCTTGTCCATGTCACATGAAGTTTGCGTGATCAATAACAACTGCACCCTCAATGAGATGAGAAGAGTGAAAGAGCTAAGATTGGACTTTTTAAGCTGATTGCCAAAAACCAAATCACACTCATCAATAGCAATTTGGGTCAACAACTGCATCAGCCATGAATTCACATACTTCTCATGGTATGGATCAGAAAAACTCAAAGTCATTGGCAACAAGACTTATGGAGAGGTATTTGCTGATTGGTATTTCGATCGAAATGCAATTAGTCCAATTCAGATAATAGACAAGTCTGACAAGCCTGTTAATTGTTCTGCATTTGGGCAAAACCCACGAAAACCTTAATTAGAATCTCATGTAACCTTAATTCTACATATAGACTATATATGAGATTCTAATTAAGGCTTTCATGGGCGTTGCCCAAATGCAGAACAATCAACAGGCTTGTCAGACTTGTCTATTATCTGAATTGGACTAATTGCATTTTGATCGAAATACCAATCAACAAATACCTCTCCATAAGTCTTGTTGCCAATGACTTTGAGTTTTTGTGATCCATACCATGAGAAATATGTGAATTCATGGCTGGTGCAGTTGTTGACCCAAATTGCTATTGATGAGTGTGATTTGGTTTTTGGCAATAAACTTAAAAAGTCCAATCTTAGCTCTTTCACTCTTCTAATCTCATTGAGGGTGCAATTGTTATTGATCACGCAAACTTCATGTGACATGGACAAGCCATACTTAAGCTGGGTTTGATCAAATGAGGACATGGTCAGAAAAATCGGAGTATTGACATATTGTAGTGAGTTCTGAGGGAAGAAACAAAGTGAAGGTTTCATTCTTGAAGTGCATTGTTGAGGTATCCATTTAGCTGATCCCACTGAACCGACCAAAAACTCATAGAATTGGAACAGTTTATCACCATCTAATTTTTGGACATCGATAAAATAAGACGAATTTGCAAGGCATTTTACCCGAGTTGTATTTGGGAATAAAGCTCCAAAGCGATCATAATGTAACATCACGGCCACTCCTCCAGCCGAGTTCCCCGCAAAGATTGCGTTTTTCGCCATTCCCATACCCTTGGCCTTAAACTCCTCCATTAAAGCATAAAAAACCTTTGCACCACTATAGGTTAGATTTGTAGCCGGATCGACTTCATTAGCATCACTGGTGTAAGATGATCCGGCGCAATAAGCAACGTGAACCCTATTCCAGTTATAAAAATCTGGATTTTCATTAGGATTTTCACTCAAAAGTTTTCTCAATTCATGCACTGGGGACATGTACTTTGAAGACCCTAAATTTCCCATGGCTCAATACTTACAATTTTGAGCATCCAAACACCACCCTCCTCCCTCTAGAAATATCACCCAATTTTCCATGCCTTCCCCATGTCCCTTGTCATAGTAATATCCAGGTAGGGGTGACACGGTTCGGCCGAAACCGTTATTGTGCTAACCGGAACTGAACTGGAACCGTCCGTACGATTCCGGTTCCGGTTCCGAACCTGTACCTATAAGGTTCAGGTTAAAGGTTCGAGGTGAAAAGGAACCGGAAACGGCGGTTCCCGTTCCAAACCAGAAAAAATTAAAAATTATAACTTATTTTATTTATTTATTTAAAAATAAATCCGGTTAGAACCGGCGGTTCCAACCGGAACTGCCGGATCTGAACCGAAACCTTACTACCGGAACCGGAACCGGAACCTGAACCGCGGTCACCCCTATATCCAGGTGCACTACCGTCAGTGCAAACTAAAAAAAAATGTCAAAAATATTAGCTTTGATAACATAATAATAATAATAATAATAATAATAATAATAATAAGAATAAGAGAAAATTTCATTTTTGGTCCTAATGTTATAAGGGTCATTTCACTTTTAGTTCACCATTATTTGCCTTGCCACATTGCGACCAGTGTTTCACTTTTAGTTCACCGTTAACATTTTCGTCTCATAGCCTTATAATCCAGGGACATTTTAGTCTTTTTATATTTGTCTTCCCCGACACATTTTCCAGCCTTAACCCCAAAGCCGCCGCCATGGATCCCGTCTCACAATAACTCTGCAAGCTCACAATTCCATTAAATGGATGAAAAAGAAAGCATTTTCTCCACCACAAAATACAAATCTCAGTATCTCACCGCCCACTGAACGTCTAAACCTCCAATTTCTTCATTTCATACTTCCGGCAGCGCCCTCACCAACAAATACTCCAAGGGATTATTACGACATCCAATCTTGAATCCCTCGTTGACCCATCGGATTTCAAATCTGCGCTCATCATTTTCTTAGGCAATTACTTCGACAGAGGACCAGACACCGGACAAGTGTTGGATTTCTTGATTTCCAGTGGAGTGCCTTCGACCACTCGAAATGTACTTCGGTTGCCCCATTCCGTTCCAAAAATTTCAAGGTAAATCGAAATTTACAGCGATAAGCAAAGGTCACAGAGTACTTACATCAATTCCAAGTATTTCGGTATCAAAAATTGGTTGTGATCAAAATTGCTCATGTAGAAAATTAATTGGAGTTGATGGGTGCCATCAATTCTAATTTTGATCACAACCAACTATAGCGATAAGCAAACGGAAATGTTAACCGTGAATGAATTAAAAGTGGAACACTTATAATAACAGTAATCATGATAAGATAAATAATGGTGGACTAAAATTGAAATGATCCTTATAACAGTAGGACTAAAAATGAAATTTACTCTAATAATAATTAGCTTAAAATAATACACTGTTAAATATTACCTGCTCCTTTAGATTTGGCAGATTCCACAATGGTTAAAGTAACGTTTATGGCGGCTTCTCTCTTGCTTGGTACACTCAGTAATAAGCAAATAAATAAGAAGCAAACCCACTGATATAGCTGTGCCATTCTGAAGGAGATGGATAGGTAGTTAATAAGAGAGGAAAACTGTATATTGAAGGAGATCTCGCCGGAAAATCCAAGCTCGTTGAAAGGACGAAAGGAGGTTATTTAGGAAAGGAAAGGAAAGGAGATGAGTCTTTCTTTTCTTTATTATGAAAGGGCAGGCAAATGCACTATATATAACTCTATATCCTATCCGCCTAACCATAAATCTTTACAAAATTATAGTTTTAAGAGTTAATTCAATTATTAAAATGATATTGTGGTTTAGTGGCACAAAGTAATTTTTTGTAGTTGAAATTATGGGTTCATGAAGTCCTAGTGGGGTAGTATTGACTCTTTTTAAGTTTATTTTTAGTCTTTATTTTAAACATCCCATTTACTCTTAGTATTATCGTAACATGATCATTTGTCAACAAAATCGTAGTAAGTCTACTTTTAGTCTTAGATTTATGTGCCAGTCCACTTATAGTTTTTTTTTTTCAAAACATTCTATTTAGTCTTAGTATTATTGTGATATGATCACTTTTGGTCCTAAAAGTGGATTATTACCTATAAATCTAGAACTAATAAGGAAATTAACTCTTAATTAAAATATGTAATTAGAATTCTACCATATACGGAGTAGAATATATGGTGCTATATTATTTGAACCAAAGTCATCAAGTCAATCAATAATGCTGAGCAGCACCTCATATGTATACATTTGATCGCATTAATGCTCTCCACATGCAATGTTTCACTTCAATAAGAATAAATATTACAAATTACATTTTACAATCACCCAATCAACAATATTTCACCAAATAATTAGGTTTGCACTATGCTTAAAAAGCCAAACATAAAATCTCATCTCACATCCATGAATTTCCCTTTACAACATTTTTTTATTTCTTTTCTAATTAACACAAAAGGCAATCCATCACATCTAAATAATTAGATTGATGGACCACTTTCCATTGATGTCTTTTATGGAATAATTGTTAAGGACTATTTATCTAGTATCTAATAATAGACTCATCACTCCACATGCAATGGATTAAAATTAATATAATTAGTACTTGAATTACTTAATGTGCTAACCTATGAGTTCGGGATGTTTGTTTACAAACATAAATTAGGGTTTAGGCCGTAAAACTTCAGCACAAACCGTCATCATCTTCTATGAGAAGTTAAATTGCACTATTTTTTTTTTTGGTCAAATAAAGAAACAAAAGGATCGACCCCTAGTCAATCAATTATTTAAAATTTGGAATGACGCAATAATGAATATGATAAATTAAATTCTTTTGGTACAAATTTTAATTTTTTTTTTTAAAACAAAACAAATTTAAGGAGTCAATTGAACCTTATTTTAGTTCAAGAGTTAGATGTATTTTTATAGATAGTTTGAAAGTTTATTTAACCATATTCCTAGAACTTTTAACACATTTCAAAATATAATAATATTGCTTTTGATAAAAAAAAAATTTTTGTTTATCTACACAGATTAATCACATTACCTAACAATTATGAAAGAGTAATTGTGTTGCATTATTCAGTGAATGCTTTATCCTTTCTCTAATGGCATTTGATATGATAGCAGCTATAGCTTGACATTGAAAATTGATACTTACTACTTTATATATTAGACAGCTTGCAATGGAGTAAAATTGTTACTCCGTTTAATATGGCATTGTTGGTCCACCGCATTAAAAATATCTCATCACATAATTAGGTTTGCTAAAAAAAAAGCCCAACACAAAATTTCATCTCTTATGCACGAATTTCCTTTACAACAATTTTTATTTCTTATCTAATTAACACTTTTTACCCGTGTGGGCATGTATGCGTTAGCATATTGGCCGTTAAGGCCGGAGGCATACGCACACACGTATGCAGTGTGGGCAACGTCCGTTTGCATACGCGTGTGATGAATATTTTTTAAAAATTAAGGATCTTTGTAGTGAGATTGAGAGGACAATTTCTTTTAGTGGAGGTGTGCGAGAACAAAAGATGAATGGGTGTGTGCTGTGTGCATGCAAATCACTTGTGATTGCACAAGGATACGTACCAATTATAGGAATAGTATATTTATAGAATTGAGGGGTGACGAATGAATTGAAGGATCTATGCAGTTGATAACGTAGTGTTTGATGGGGGTAAGTAGTCAAAATCTTTAGAATAGATCTCCACCCATGTGTGTTAACAAGTGCAGTATGAAGTCTTCAAATATAAGATGTGCAACAAAGTTAACATATTTGTGCATGTATGTGCAATCATGTGGGCGTGTTTGTGTTTGTAGCATTCTAGTACTGAGTTCAAGACAAGACTGAAATGAATGATGGATTTAGTGCTATTAGATGTGTGCATAATTGTGCACATGTGCATTAAGGTCCTGGTGTTTAACCAGAAACTGATTGCACACATGGTGATCGGACGCACATGATTGCACATGCACTAATTGTACACACTGGTGTTTAACACGAGTGTAGCTGTGTTAAACACGAGCGTACCTGTGTTCTCCATTGCCCATAGTGTGTCCATTGTTACCGTCGTGTCTGCATTTCTTGAGGATATTTGATTATAGATTATATTATTTGTATTCATACCTTTAATAAATTTCCTACAAATATTAACGTGATATTTAATACGGAGTATAATTTAATTCATAAAAATATTCTTCTTTATTTTACTATTTCACCCCATATCCATATTTAAAGACAATTTTAACTTGAATTATTGGTCAATCATGACCATTAAAAATTATTACTTATGTATAAAAACATAATATTTTTACATTTTGATGTAAAAGTATTGTTTTTTTTTCATCAAAAGTATTATATTTTTCCTTAAGTAACAAACACTTTTTTTTCCCTAATTAGTATTATATTTGCATATTGACCGGACTTGACCCGTCTCACGGATAAGGATCCGTGAGACGGTCTCACACAAGTGGGCAAATTTTACTGTGGACCACGGTGCATGTAACATTGTGGTCCATGAAGTTAGTTTCATTTTAATTACACATTAGTTTCATTTGACAATATTGCTTTGTTTTTCAGTTTCATTTTCAACGCACAGTAGTTTCATTATAGCAATATCAAAGTATCATTTTAATTACACTACAATTTCATTTGACAATATACATTACTGCATGTGCTCTATTTTGTAGTTTCATTTTCTCACGGTCAAAATACCAATGAGGTCCCGACAATTTATATCGTGCACCAGGGCGCGCATTGCATTTTGTGCCCTGATGCAAAACGACGTCATTTAAGATTTTTTTTTTTTTTTTGAAATTTCGCTACCCAGTGTTGGCGGTAAATTTTCCTTTAAAAAAATCT